GACAACAGCAAATGAAGGTCTCAAAAGCTTTATGTCACCTATGTCATTAAGGTCAACTCTACTTTGAGGAGGCAGCTCTTCCCCAGTTGTATTTTGAGTGACTTCCAACCTGAGGGACTCATCTTCCAGCACTATATTAGATAATTGTTTTCATGCTATTGGTGAAGTTTTCCGGTACTATATCATACAGTGTTTTATTGCTATTCATAAGGTTTACAGTGCCAGTTTTTTCAGTAGTTGATGGCCCTTCCCAATTTGTCTTGGTATGGAAGTTCCACTGAAACCTGTTTGCCATGGCTGACCTTGCTGGTATTTGAAATACCAGTGAGATAGCCCCCAGCTTCACAGCAACATACAACCCACCACCATGTGACAAAAAGACAGATGATTTGTGGATGAACTGAGAAAGTGATTGTGTTGATGCATATTTAGTTTTGTACCATTGACAGTCCTATATACACCACTTGTATTAACATAATTACTTATACTGCCCTTTTGCTTCTCAAATATGTTATTTGAAAATAAATGATATACTAACTATAACTTTAAGATTTTGAATACTGATAGAAAAACTATTTTCATTATACCAAATATTCAGATAAATGTGTACCAACCATCAGTGTGCAGTTATTAGAGTTGGGACTCTGGAGTCTCAATGACTGGCCATTTACATTGTAAGAAACAGTAGACACATTAACTCTTTGTGTCTAAGTTTTTCTCAGTTATAAAATGGAGATCATGCACCTTCCTACCTCATGGGATTTTATCAATTATATATGTAACAAGAGACTGCCTGGAGCATGACAACAGGCTTTGCTATTATTATGATTATATACTCAGTTAAGTAATATGAAGACATGTGATGGAGCAGTTTTAAAATGCTTATGAAGTACCATGTGAGATAGTAACAAGTTGAAAATGAATGCAAAATACATAAAAAGACAGAGTGTAAATTTGAAGGAAAGGAGAAGAGTGTATGGCATTATAGTGAGGAGATTCAGCAATTTAACCTTAACCTGCTATAATGGGCACTGCAAAATATGTTGTATAAATGTGTTCCAATCTGAACCAGGCTAACTGAAAGCATGTCAGTGTCATTTTTCTATTTCTCTACAGTGCATTTATTATATTCAACATTGCCTCAGAATGTAATAAAAGAGTTCAATGAAACCATCAGTCTGTACTGAAAAGCATAATCCAAACAATAGATGTTAAGATATAGATATTGAAGCCTAAAAAAGGCATGTGAAATTATAAATTTGGATGTTTAAGAGTCCAAGTGCACAAATTCCAAGTAGAAGTTAAAATGTTAAATTAAGTAAGGATAAAAGAGTAATAAAGAAAAGCTATACTAAAATAAAAAAATATATTGATTTTTAAAATATCTCATTCCCCATTCAATATAAATAAATTAGGGAGATTAGCTCACTACAAAATAGAAAAAGTATATTCTAAATAAAACTCATGGGAGTTGGATAAGTTGAATGTAGAAGTGTATTCATCATTACCTGATTTTGTAATTGTATTCTGCAGTACTAATTTCCCCGACATTTTCACATAGGTTTGACTTAAGCCTGAAGTTCAATAATGAGAAACCACACAACAATAACAACATTCATCCTTCTGGGACTAACAGAAGATCCTCAACTGCAGGTTCTGCTTTTTATTTTTCTACTAACCACCTACATGTTGACTGTAACTGGAAATCTGACCATCATTACACTCACATTACTGGATCCTCACCTTAAAACACCCATGTATTTCTTCCTTCAAAGTTTCTCTTTTCTAGAAATCTCATTTACAACGGCCTGTGTTCCAAGATTCCTGTACAGCATATCAACTGGAGACAGAAAAATTACCTATAATGCATGCTCCATTCAACTATTTTTTACAGGTCTCTTTGCAGTAACTGAATTTTTTATTTTGGCCACCATGTCTTATGATCATTATGTGGCCATCTGCAAACCCTTGCATTATATGATAATGATGAGCAGCAAAGTATGCAAAACAATGGTCATCAGCTGTTGGATGGTAGCATTTATGTTTATCCTCCCACCATTTAGCTTAATTTTAAATCTGGAATTCTGTGACTCTAACATCATTGATCATTTTGGCTGTGATGCACCTCCTATCCTGAAAATCTCATGTTCAGATACATGGTTAATTGAGCACATGCTTATAGCTTGTGCTGTATTGACATTCATCATCACTCTTGTATGTGTAGTTCTCTCCTACTTACATATCATGAAGACAATTCTAAGATTTCCTTCTGTTCAACAAAGGAAAAAGGCCTTTTCCACCTGTTCTTCCCACATGATCGTAGTTTCCATTACCTATGGCAGCTGCATCTTCATCTACATCAAACCTTCTGCAAAAGAAAAGGTAGAGGTAAATAAAGGTGTGTCAGTGCTCATTTCATCCATATCACCGATGTTGAATCCTTTCATATATACCTTGAGGAATAAGCAAGTTAAAAAAGCCTTTAAAAACTCACTCAAAAAAATTGTATTCCTCTCAAAGAAGTAAATTGTACCTAAGTTGATAAATCATATGAAAAAAAAAAAAATGCATGGTTTGGTTACTTCATGCTGCTCTAACAGAAATTTCACAGGTGGAATGGCTTGAACAAACAGGAGTTTATTGTCTTACAATTTTTAAGACTAGAAATTTGAGTTCAAAGTGCCAGAATCTAGGGGCTGGGTGAAAGCCCATCAACCTTGGGCTTCAGCTCTGCCTTCTGCTCCTGGCACACTGAAGCTGGAGGCTTCTCTTCCATTAGGCACCTGCTGGCTGCTGATGCTGAAAAACTCAAGGTCAACAAGTTAAAAGCACTGTCCCAATATTACCAAACAACTTGGCAGGCCACTAATCCAAGCCCAGAAAAATACCAAGATCAGCAGGACATGGCTACATACAGGGTTCGAGCATACCAAAAAGCTGGAGACCTTCCTCAAAGTTGCTTCTTGTAAACTGGAAGCAGACCACATCCCTAAAGCAGCTACTCAGCTGCTCCAGTAGAGTCCACCATGGAAATGGTTACTGATTTCACTATGGAGAATAACTACATCCAGCTGCCCAACCACTCAACCAGGCCCAACCAAGTTGACACATAACTTTAACTACCACAATGCATATCTACATTTTATTTTTCCTGAAGCTGATAAATTTTTAATTGCTTAACCTATAAAGCATTCAGGATGATCTCACAACTATTAATCATTATTTTTTACATCAATTCGTTAATGAAGAAGTAATAATTTAACAGTGCTCTATGGTAGATAAAACATCATTTTTAACCAACAACTTTCATGGTTAAATCACTCGTATTCCTTCTTCTCAAATGATTTTTAAGATTTATAATATGAGTGTAGACAATTCATTCTTAAACAAGACACTACTTTCTGCCCCCATGTTTTAAAAACAATAGATATAGATTTAAAAAAATTTAAAAATCTATAGCAAAATAACAAAATGTAAAGAAAAAAATCAGATAATACGATTAAAAGTATATATTTGCTGCACAATTAAAAGGAAAGTATGAATAACATAAATATAAAAAGCTTCTATACATCAATAAGAAAGAATTCATAAATAGCAAGAGAAAATACAATATTTAGTTCACTAAAAATTAAATAAAATTATCTGTCATAATAGAAAAAAATACACTATTTGTTCTGGTTACCTAGTACTGCTCTGACAAGAGATATACCACAAATGGGATTGCCTTAACAAACAGGAGTTTATTCTTACAATTCGGAGGCTTTAAGTCCAACTTCAAAGTGCCAGGCTCTAGGGGCTGGGTGAAAGTCCCTCAATCTTGGGGTCCAGCTCTGCCTCCTGCTTCTGGCCCACTGGAGCTAGAGGCCTTTCTTCACTCAGACAGCTGCTAGCTGCTGAGGCTGAGAGGCCCCAAGGTTGACAAGTAAAAAGGCACAGTTCCAATGTTACCAAACCACACAGCAGGCCATTAACTTAAGTCCACTGTAAAGCCCAAGATCGGCAGAGCATAGCAGGCTACTGAGCAATGACCCAGCTACACACAGGATCCAAGCATGCCATAGGCTTGAGACCATTCCCAAGGCTTCTCCTTAAATACAGGAAGCAGACCACATCCCAAAGGCAGCTATTCAGCTGCTTGTGGTAGATCCCACCATGGACTGGCAATCAAGCCAGTCTCATCATGGGGAATAACTATCACCAGCTGCCCAGCCACTCAACCAGGCCCAGCCAAACTGACACACAAACATAACCATCACACTATTTCATTATCAATCCTATATTGGTAAATTAAAGCCTTTATATATAATTCATTCATCACATTTGCACAAAGTATATATTTTGATGATGTAAAATGTTATAAAGTATGCAGAGAGATTGGCACTTTCTCACACAATGTGTTTGACAACTTAAAATCAAATTATTTCTCCAAAGTACATATAATCTTTCACTTGGAAAATCTCAATCTTGAAATTTGTGGTATTACCACAGTTGCCAATAAGCCTAACATACATATCTAACCCTGCTCATTCCAGTCATTCTGAATAGTAAATGATTGGAAACAATCAAATGAATATCACTTTGCCAAGATGCAAGTAAATTAAGGAATTATGGTATATGATGTAGTACTTACCAAATGATACTTCTCTTGATATTACAGAAAAATATTAAAATATGCATATGTGAAAAGTAATTTGCAAAATAGTATGTGAGTCATTATGCCACTTATCAAAAAGACTTTTTGTTGTTGATCATAAATGTCTGAAGGTAGGATGAAATAGATTTTAACCATCTCTCTCCTCACCTGGAACACCAGGTTTTACAGTGGTAGCACATAGTAAAAGCTCAATGCATATATTATGTATATACATTTGCTTGACAGAGGATATTTCTACATATGCATTTCCATATGTTGCTAATATAGCCATATATTAAAGCATAAAGGAGGCAAAGTTATGGAAACTTCCTAGCTATAACCAAACAGCTTGGGGGAATGAGTCACTGGACCTAAAGGCTCAAGACCATAGCCTCAGGAATACCTAGGTCAATTGGCACAACTTAGTCCACAAAGTGACCTACATCCTACTTTGATGAGTGCCAAAAGGAATCTTAATAGCTTGTGTGTGATCATCCAAGGTACAAGTATTGGTCTTTTCCCATCCAAAGCCAAGAAGAGTGAAAATCAGAGATTCATGGAAATAATTGGTCCAGAGGACTCCTGGACTACGTGAACCCCAGTCTTCATGATCCTGAGGCCAGAAGAGATAGACAGTATCCATCTACCTCTGCTGTCACTCTGAGAGGGACAATAAAAGTTGTCTTAGATAGATTAGGAGAAAAATGTGGGGAAAAAATCAAAATATGAGAAAAAGACCAGGCTTCTTGGTCTGATATAGATAGGTGGATGCTCCTAGGCTATAGTCCTTAGACATCCTCACCTTCTAAATGAACTCAT